AACTTCAATATAGTAGTTAACAACAGATTTTTCAAAAAAAATTCAACAATTGGTCGCCATAACTCCAAAAACTGGAAACAATTTTTTTTGAAAATTTTTACAATTTTAGTATAATGATTAATAATTTCTGTAATACTATTAACAACTTCAGTATAGCAGCTAACAACAGGCTTTTTAGAAAATACAAAAAGTAATATTTTCATAACTTCAGTAATGCCGTTAACAAGTTTCGTAACTCTATTAACAACTTCGATATAGCATTTAACAACAGGTTTTCTTAAAAATTAAAAAAATAGCATTTTTACAACTTTAACAACTACTCTTTTTTTTTTTTAAATTTTTACAACTTCAGTATAACAGTTAATAACTTTTGTAACGATATTAATAACTTCAGTATTGTAGTTAATAACAGGCTTTTTGGGATATTCAAAAACTAGTATTTTTACAACTTCAGTAATGTTGTTAACAAATTCAAAAACATATTGTTAACCGCTATATTAAAGTTATCAATAGCGTTATAAAAGTTGTTAGCCATTATATTGAAATTGTATAAATTTTAAAAAAAATTATTTCCGACCGCCAGAGCTTCGGCAACTAATTATTGAATTTTCTGAAAAATCTGTTGCTAACTACTATACTGGAGTTATTAATAGTGTTACAAAAATTGTTAACTATTATAATAAAATTATAAAAAAAAAATTTAAAAAAATGTTTTCGGCCGCCAGAGCTCCGGCGACCAATTGTCGACCAGTTGTCAGAGCTCCGGTGACAGTCGCTGCTATTGGCACTGGAGCTCTAACGACTGACCGGCTAGTGGAGGCTTTGATTTTTTAAATACAATAAATAAAATGAAGGGTAGTATGGTCATTTTAGTAAATTTATAAATGTTAAATTGGTCACTTATGACTAAATTGGGATTTTGCAACTTCAAGTGACTATTTTAGCATTTTCAAGTTCAAGTGTCATTTTTATGTCATTTTCCTTTTAGTTTTTCTTACGGCTATTTCCATAATCCCGTCAGTGTTAAAATAACAAAAGACTTTTTTTATAAAAAAAAATGTAACACATGCAAAAGGCCACCGCCAATGTAAAGAATTATATATACATTCCATTATTATGTTCTTTAATGCTCTTTTTAGGAGAAGAATAATAATAAAGATTTAATCCTCAAAGCATCCACTTTATTAATGGGAAAGTAAGTGAATTCCCACAAAGTAGCACCAATATGGTTTTAAAATATAATTTATACTATAAAATGGATCTTATACTTAAAGATAGGAGAGTATATTCATATATGACTGGACAATAAGTAAAATTAAATTTTAATTAATGAAAGCAGAGTGAGAGGATTAGAAAGTGATAACTAGTTATAAGCTCTCTAATAATCATTCTCAATACAAACACTTTCTTCAAATGTTTAAGAATAAATACATGCACTATATATGATGCAAAGATCATAAGAATTGATATTTTGTTGTCCTGATCTATCAATTAAAAATATTTAACAGTCATACACACAATTTGCTTTTTCAGTTTCACCCCCCCCCCCAAGATATATATCTTCTAGATCCCCAGTAGATATAAAGGGAACGTTGACATTGGTAGATGAATAATAGTACTCCATCACGCATGCAATTTTTTTTATAGGCACAAATATTTTTTTATTAAAAAAAATCATGTTCGGGGCACTCAAATTAATTCCAATTCTAATAAAAATTTAAATATTAATTCATCACGTTATAACTCGTTTTGTTATAATTTGTTTTATTAGACTCAATCCCGTTAACGTCACGCAGGCAAATTGGTATGATGCGAAACTATTTAAAATTGTTGGGACGCAAGTGCTAATTAAAAATTAAAAAATCAGTTAAATAGCTTGAAGGTACTTTCACCGTCTTTACTTAAAATAAATTATTAATGGGTCCCATTTATAGCGGCCGTTGGTTGGATTATATGCGTCTAATTAAGTGTGTGGGGTACACCTCGACATTGTTGTTTCGAAGTCTTATTTTTAAAACATGCGTGTGTTCGGATCAAAGAGTCAAGCTATAACATACTTTTTCTTATATTGTTCACTTTAATCAATGTCGTGTTCATTATATGATGTTTTGTCAGATGAAGGCGTGCTATGTACTGTTTCTGAACTTTAATATAAAATTTTATTTAATTTTTATTTTGAACCTAATTATAAAATCTCAATCCATTTTGTCCTCATATTTATATATTTTTTTTTCAAGATAGTCTTTCTAATAATAGTAATTCTAGCCAATAAATTTGATTAGTGAAGATATTTTAAAAAAGATAACATATATTTATTACAAATAACTAACTTAACTTATTTTCTTAATCTCCTCAAATTAGTTAACTAGTTCTTATAATTAGAACAAGAAGTAGTAATTAATAAAGTGAGCTTCTTTGTCTAAATTAAGATAACTTTTTTTTAATTTAATTCCCACTCATTTGTTTTTTCATATCTTTTCTTTTTGTCACTTCATTTTCAAAATCTGCGATCTTTTGAAGTGCGGCTGTGAACCTTTGATCGTGAATTTAACTGTTAACTGATTAAGAGGAGCACTAATTAGATGGAACTTTTCTTCTGGTCGCTACAATTAGTTGCAACTTGAAGCCATATCTTCCATAATATTATAAGTGGAACTTTAATTAGTTTGCATTAAAAAATAATTAATCGGAACCAGAAAGGTTAGCCTCACTGCAACAAAAGAATCGCCTGAATGCAATCTAAATATTTGAAGCACAATATTTTATTTTATTAGTACAACTTCCTCTAAGTTATTATATAATATATTGAATAATATGCTGCTAGCGTTAATATTGCAGTGCATTATTTGTTGCCATCATATTATTTTAGTGCGTTATTTGTCTCATTGTTGAACATAAGAATGTTGTAATTTATATAAAAATATTACTCATCATAAATCACGACTAATATAATTAACTTTTTAAATTATGTGCAACACATATAAAACTTATACTCCTCCGGTTTTTAATATAAGAGCTTTTTAACTAATTTGATTAGATTAAAGAAGTTAGGTAAATTAGTTAATTATAAGAATATAACATTTTTTTCTAAAATATTATAATCATTTTCGTTAATATCCTCTCTCTCTTCTGTTTGATTATGGTTAAAAGAGTTCTTATAGGGATAATTTAGGAAAAAATAATAAATATGATAAATAAGTCCTATATTTAGAACCAAAATCAACTCAATAATTAGATTCTATATTAAGGACTGAAAAAGTACTTGTTATATGATTTATGTATCATTTATCTGAACTCCTATTGAGTAAAATTCTTGAAGGATAAGCATTGATTAATTTTTAAATAAAATTTTTTTTTAAAAAATTCTTTTCAAAGTTGCTAGCCCTAGTAATCTTATTCTTCTTTTTCTTCAGAGCCAAAACTGAATTAAAGTATGGTTAAAGTATACTTTTAGTCCTTTAACTTACGTAAGGTTTTATTTTAATTCTTTAATTTTAAAAAGTAAACTTTTTGTCTTTTAACATTGTGTTCTTGGTCATTATTACTATTTTCCTTTCCTTCTTTATGTCCTTTCCTATTTTAAAGAGTAAACTTTTAGTCCTTTAACTTTACGCAAGATTTCATTTTCATCCTTTAACTTTAATGATATGGCATCTCAAGAAATGGCGAATTTTATAACCAAAAGTTCCTTGGCCATTCGTACTGTAAGCATTTAGATCACTAGTTTTTGTGGTAACCTGAGCACAAAGCTTCAATTTAAAATTCATTTGTCTCACGATAAATGTTGAATATTATTTAAATTTTCTCTTTTACATAAATTAATATTATGTAACGAACTTTTTTCACCGTATACCACCCAAGTTCATCTAACCTAAATTGTGCTCTCACCACTAAGATATATTATATAATTGAAATTTATAATCCACTTGAACAGACTCTCATTGGATGTAACAATTATATATATATATATATATATGTATATGTATAAAGACATTGCAGAAAAACAATTTTTTTGTTGTACTACAGAAAAACAATTTGAACCACGCTGCCAATGCTAGAGATGGATGGGTTATGATTAATCATGGGAGATTATAGGAAGTGATGTTCATTTTAAAAGACCTTTAAATAACTTAAACACGTATTAATATATCCATATATACCATCTTCTTTAATACATGAGAAACTACATCTAATACCATTAATTAATATCAATGCATATACATAATGTCAATGTACTTATCCACAATTATATTTTTTGTCGGATACTTGCATGCAAAATCAACCTTAATTATTCTCAAATCTCAAAGGTATATTCTTGTGATCTCCAATACTTGATTTCCTTCCTTCCAAGTACTTCCTCATGCGAACAATTTAGCCAATTCTATTATTGAAATGACTAACTAGATTAAGTTTGAAGTATACATACAACATACTATCTATAATTGATAAATGGTACATTTTTGTATGAATTTTATAAGTATATGATTAAAATGATTAAGTAAAAAATTTTTTGGTTGTTTTAGTTTTACAAAAATTTGACTTCCCATTTCAAATAAATTGTAATAATTGAAGTTACGTATTTATCTTGTAAACTCTATTCGACAAATTATTCATTACTGAATTCAAAGTCAGCGAGCTTAGATTGATAAAGTTGGGGTGTTAACTTTAATCAGAATATGGAAAAACCAAAAGAGGAAAAACTGAATGCTTCCTTTGAAACTAAATGGACCAAATTAAATCGAAACTTTAATGAAGTTTGAGGGACCTCGATCTAGAAGCTGTGTCAACTATAAATAATAAAAAATATAAAAGCCAATGAAAACAAAACTGAAAAGAAATAACCAAAAAAAAAAAAGTTCCACCGCTGAATACAGACAACAAATGACAGATTGCCACATATATGTGTATTTGTATGTTGTGTGTGTGTGTCTCTCTCTCTCTATATATATCTATATCATATGCATGTGTCTATGGCCCGATATTTTCTCTTGTCTTTTTCCATCGATGTGTCTTGTTCTTCTTTTTCTTCTTCTTCTGAGTCTGCCTGTTTTAAAGCCTGTGTGTTGGCGCCATAGCTCAAACTCACTTAAGTTTTGAGTTTGTGTTGTTCAGTCACTACGACTGTCTCTGATACACACTTAACTGGATTCCCATTGTAAGTCTCCTTCTCTACTCAATTCCTTCATCTTTTTTCTATCATACTTCGTCCTCGTTTTCATCAATTCCTCTTATTTCTTATAGCCATGAAAATACCAGTGCTAGCTAGTTATCAGTATTACACATAAAAGGTTTAATATTAACTATCTGTTTCTCTTCTCTGTCCTTCTTTCTGCTATATTGCTTGCTCCATGTCTTTGGTTTATGTGTTTTGCTGTTTTCTCTTAGTTTTTGAGTTCAGTTTTACACAAAAGCTTCATAGGTTATTCGTGTGCTTCATATCCCAAACCTGATGAAATCAACATGGTCTCTGCAAGATTTCTTTTCCTTCTTCCATTGTTTAATTTTCCGGCGATTCTTTTAATTTCTTTGCCTCCTTTTCTTTTTATCCAGTCAAGTTCTTCATTTTCCTCACAGATATCTTGGCGTGGTTTTGATCGCAATTAGGCGCAAATATATCTCATAACACAATTGGGAAATAGTGTTGGTTGGGTATGTTCTCATCATAATATGCTGATTTATTTCTTTCTTCAGCTTTTGTGCTTTTTTTTAGAGCTTTTTGTCCGGATAGAACATAAGCATGCAGGATCGAAGCCTAAAAAATAATAAGTTGTATTGTTTATATATGGCTTATAAATGAATAATGCAGCTTGTTATAAATTATATAGATGTTGATGATTTATATAAAAAATGTTTGGTGTTATCTCATTAATATTTATTTATCATCTATTTCAACTCTTTATAAATATAAATGAGTTGTCTATATATATATGTATGTATATGTTCGGTGTACATATATATTATTTCGACATTGTTATCTTAGAGACATATTTATATGTAGAATCTTATTGGTTATATAGATCTTGTGTTTCCCAATTATTAAAACGTTGAATAACACATTTCTTTATCAATGATTGATATTTATGCACTTAACTTTCTAAAATGTAACATGCACTTCAGATATTCATATACGCATTTTTTGTACGTCTAAAATTTAGAAAACTTTAAATGTCGTTATATCGGTTAATTACGGCGCAAATTTTGGCAGATAAAGGACTCACAATTGAAAGGAATGGTTTGCTAATACCTCGAATTTCATGCCTTTTCCGGCTTATTTTAATTGAAAGGAATGGGTTTAATAATTTATATAAACACAAATTGGTTCCTCTCTCTCTCTCTCTCTATATATATATATATATATTACAGTTTCAAAACGCACACAAGAGAAATGAATATATATATATATATATATATATCTCTGTGTATTTTTTCTTTGCTTTGGTGGGCGGCGATCAATATATTTATACATGCTGCGGTAACAGCAAACAAGAATATATGTGCCCTAAAGATCGCAAAATCTTTTTTGTCACAAAAGATAATATATATAATAGGGAATACTTTCAAGGTAACTGATCTTTCAATAGAGAAAGATCATAATAAGCTTTTATTTTAATTCCTCTTTAGTGGAATTCATAGTCCCTGTCTACATAATAATGTCTCTTTCACAACTTTTATGTATCAACCACCACTCTCTGGGGCCTCCATTTTATATTTTGCCTGCTTCTTTTATATATTTCTTAGTAGTTTGCTTTGTTCTATGTATGCTACTTTTCTTTCCTTTTCTTTTTCTTGTTTTATATTTATGTATAGTCAAACAAGTTATTATTAAAATATCTTCAACGTTGTTCTCGCCAAATTTTTTTAAAAAAATTTTAATTTGTGTCTATATATGATTGTTGATTTTAAAAATTATCCAAAAAAGATCAAAATTTTAGATTAAGACGTAAGCTTTGTTGGGGTTCCCCTAAATTATAAAGAGTCTAAAGAATGAGTTTTGTGGATAATACCACTTAATATAAGTTTTATGTTTTATGATTAATGATTAGTTTTGAGAAAAAAAATTATTGAGAAGAGAGAATTGGACAATTGGAAGAATCAATAATCGCGAGATACAATCTTAATTTAAGTAACTGCCCTTGGCTGGTCATCATAAGAAGAATTTCTCATAATCAAACAATGCGAAGGTAAATTACTCTTTTGATGTTGATAGGAGAATAATCCTAACAGATAAATGTATGAAAATCAAACAATAATAATAAATGTGGAAGAATAAAAATAAACTACGATCTGTATGACTTGTGTTTCTGAATAAAAATGGGATCTAATATTGCGGAGAGATTGTTTGGATTTGAAAAGCTAAGACTGAATTACATACAGGTCTCTCTGCAAGATTCTATTCTGAAAGCTGCGATGGGATTCGAACCTCAGTCATCAGCATACTCGAACCTCGACTCAATCCTAGTATCTGAGCTGCAAGACAATGAAGAAGCAATTTTGTGTTCCTACACTTCATGGCTAGTAAGCTCCTAAACTTGCTCTCACCCAATCAATCATCCATCTCAGAATTCTCATTTAATAAGAAAAAATCTATCTCTTATTTCTCTTCAGTATTCTTTCTGTTCATGGTTTTCTCTTTAAAGGAATTTCTTTACATGATATGCATATGGATTTGATGGTATAATTAGTTCAGAATATAAGCTCGGGTCATATTAAGTATTATTTTTATTTGCGGCCGTAATATCAATGTATTTGAATTTAAATACCCTTGTGTTTGCTCATGGCTAAAATTGCCGAGTATTAGCCTCTCTCTATGGTTTTTCTGAGTTACTTGCGTGTGAAGTAATCCTATGCTGTGGGGCTACCAGGAAAAGCATCCCTTTGCATTGGACAAGTTTGAGGAAATGATGAGCATTGCTAAAGAAAAAGAGATTGTTGTGTTTTTGGACTATGATGGAACTCTCTCTCCCATTGTTGATGACCCCGATCGCGCTGATATGACTGATGCTGTAAGTGCTTTCCATGTCAGCAAGCAACACCATATCATCAGTGCCATTTTTGACAGTTACAAGTTTTCAAAGAAACTGAGAATATACAAGTCTTCGTTTAGAGTTAATGCTTTTAAAAGTTGAAGCGATTAATATTAATTTACATTTTAGACTATTTCTGTTGCTTCGATTTCCTCCTCACTTTACATTTTACAAACATAAATGATTTTGCAGATGCGCACAGCAGTAAATGAAGTCGCTTGCTGTTTTCCTACTGCAATTGTCAGTGGAAGGAGTAGACAAAAGGTGTGGTTAAAAATTGTTCATACAGTACTCAGACATCTTATTTTGAAGCCTGCAAGATTTTCTTCCAGTTTTCTAGCTCTTATTTACAATTCAAAATATTAACTTTGACACGTATAGGTACGTGAATTTGTGAGGTTGAGAAATGTCTATTATGCTGGAAGCCACGGGATGGATATCTCAACCCCAAAAGGCTCTTCGAAATCTGAAGATCAGAAACATGAGACCAAGGCTGTTGATGAAAAGGTTCCTTAAAGTTTACCTTTTTACCTACTAGGCTCTTCAAAGGATACTTGTTTTGTTCTATGCGTTTTTTTAATAAGATTTTCCCTTTCTAGGGTAACCAAGTAGTTCATTTTCATCCTGCAGAAGAATTCCTGCCAACTATCAAAGAGGTAATTTCCCTTTTCCGGTTTTAAAATAACAAGAACAGATTGCGTTCATCTTTTGAAGTTTAACCTACCTTACCGCAATGTACGATCTGAAACAGATAATTCAGGTTCTGAAAGAAAATGTTCCAAGAGTAAAGGGGTCCAAGATAGAGGACAATATGTTCTGCATCACTGTACACTACAGGCTTGTGAAAAATGAAATGGTGACAACACTATTCAGACTACCAGATCTTAATACTAGTTCAGATGCTAATATTGTTGCTTTCAAATGATAGGAAGTTGGTATTCTCAGAAAGATGGTGGAGTCTATTATGGAAGCTTACCCCAATTTTCACATATCAGGAGGAAGAAAGGTATATTCAACTCTTCAAGCAGTCATTCTATGCTTTGAAAACTATTTTTAAGAACATACAGATAAAAATTATTGGATTAATCATTCATAAATAATAAAGCATTCTATGGTTTTCCCAACTCTTGCTCAGGTCATAGAGATACGCCCAAATATAAGTTGGGATAAAGGTTGTGCCGTGCAGTATTTGCTTGGCACTCTTGGCTTTGATAGCTTTGACAAGATCATACCACTGTACATAGGGGATGATACAACTGACGAAGACGCTTTTAAGGTATGCTTTTATTATCTTTTTAATTTTATAGGGGTGTTTTAAACTTGTTACAATCTCTAGTTGAAAATATCTTTGTATCCTCTAGAATACCCTAAAGAAATATGGAGCAAGTAAATCTTAAGTCGTAAGCTTGAGATAAGGGAATTTAACATGTGGATGACTGCAGGTTATAAGACGCATTGGACAAGGTTTTCCGATCATTGTTTCTTCAAAAGCTAAGGAGACCAAAGCTTCTTATTCTCTGCGCGATCCTGATGATGTTTTATCTTTCCTAATGCGTCTTGCTAAGTGGAGGAAAAGCTTGTTATAAGAGCTAAAGCAAATTGACAAGCTTCAGAAGAAGTTATGCAGATAAAAGTAAAACTAGGCTAAATTGCTTGTGCTTTCTGCATACTGAGAGAACGGCAGCCATAGGGGTTTGACACTAACTGGGAGGCATGCTATATAAAGAAGAAACGAACATGAAAGATTGCTAGGTTTTAGGAAAAGTTTTAAGATTTTGTTTCTATTTGTGTAAAGAGGGTAACAACTAAGAAGTTGTCGTAGGCATATATAAAACCATTGAGAGCTTAAGAGGTCGGATACTTGGATGCTTTGCTCCAATACACTAATGGACTACGTAATACCGTTGCAAGGGAATTCTTGTTCATCCGTTTTCATATTTTATTTTTACTGATGTCTTTCACCAATTGACAGAATTGCAGTTCAAGTCTCATTTGACAATCTTCCGTACCAAAAACGAAATATCTAAAACAGTACCAGAAATTCCATTTAGCATATGTATTCAAGAAAACATTTTGCAACCAACAAAAGAGAAAAAAGAAATCAACTCCTTCTACAAATCATATCTACTCTTTCCTCCTATTCTTAATGTAACAACTACTTAATTAATGTAAATTATCAATGAAGTTAGACAAACTAATTAATTATAATGAATGTGACTTGATCCCTATAAAATACACCTTATAAAATACATGGGTGTATTTGAATTATTGTTGATGGAGTATTAATAAAAATAATTTGAAAAAAATGACAAAATATGAAAGACACAGCAAACTAACATCTCATATTTAAAACCAAAATTAACCCAATTAGTTCTTAGATTTAAGACAAGAGGAAATACAAGAAATAGAAAAGAAGCAGCGTCCAAAAAAACAAAAAAGAAAAAGCCTCCATACTTCTCACACAAAAAAGAGGAAATGGTGTTTAAATAACTAGACTTGAGACGAAAAAACAATATCTATTCAACTCATAACTACACTTGAGAGGAGCAGCCTAGGAATGATATCGTAAATGAACAGAACAGGCATGAAAAGAATATGACAAACCTGGCAAAGCAAAAGAAAACTGAAAAGAAGTTGGGACTGGAGAAACGTGGGTTTAAATGACGTATTATTAACTTCTGATATTGTTACTGCTACAGTGTAAAAGGCGCTATGAGGATTCGACGAAGATCTAATGCATCCTCTAAAACAATATCCTACTCCACTGTCATGGAGTGTGGCTGGGAAAAAACCTGTAACTAGGTAAGAAGAGATATCTAAATTCTGAACCTAAAGGCCACTTTTCTACTCTGATACTGTTACAACTGTATCAACCTTCAATGGCAAACTAATCACCAAGTTAGGCATCCCTCTTTTGTCACCGTGGCTTCATCCTTTGAACAAGGTGTTAGGCACAAATATAAACGAAGGTGGTTAATAGCTTGGTAAGTGTACATGATGCAACATCTGAGCCACAAGAGAGGCAACTTTCACATGAAAGATCGACTATGATTCGAACAAATAAATCTTCCCACTCAACTGTGGGATGAGAACACGAATGATGCCTCATTGAGGGTAGTTTTCTCATTGTAGTTTTCCCCACTCAACTTGTCTCCCAGGTCCTAATAAGGAGGCAGAATACCATCCTCCTCTTTCAACCTCGAATTGCTCCTTGGCCGCTGATCTGGCAAAATAATCAAGTTCACCTGGAACGAAGAGGTTAAGACATAAATAAATATCACTGACGTGAAAACTATGATTAAAAATATAAGCTTTAACATAACCAATATGTATCATCACCAGGTAAATTCATAAGTAACACATCTACAAGTAGAGTAAGAATTCACAAAAATTACGTGGATCCAGCTAATTTTCAGAGCTGTCAGATATATAGGTGTTTGCCATTGGGTTTTTTGATAAAACATTCCATGTGTACCATTTTTCCAATTAAGAACCTTACCATTGGCTGCCAGTTCCATTGTCAAAAATTCATTCAAAAAAAAAACTCACCTAAAAACTGGACACGAGTTTTGCGGTCATGCGACCATTTCATTATTGCATGGTCTTAGACTTCTTTGACTATTCTCTTTGGTCCTATCCAGTAAAAGGCATGAGCAGATGGGGTAAGCTACCTTGAGAGGTGGGGTGAAGAGGGTTGATCTGGTGAGGATCGATGAGCAGAACCTCCATGAAACCTTTGCTCCTCAAACGCTCCACCAGATCCGCTTCCCTCATTTAGTGATACTTCATGAACACCTGAGAAACCCATAGATCCAAAAGATCCAAACTCCAGGTGTTCTGCTGGTGAACTGTAGCCAGCATTATGCTGGTAAGGGTACAGCATCACAACTGATGGCATTGCCGGTCCATTTGATGAGACCCCACTGGGGTTCATGCCAGGCAGAGAATACATCCCATATGCCACATTGGAAGAAGTGTTCTGTGAGGAATTTGAGCGTACGGGACCATTCTGAGTGTGGTAAGACATAGAGGAGTCATGTCTATGCGACCGCCATGGCCTTTCAGCTCGGCTCTCACTTGTTGCCAACCTCTCTGGCTTTGAGTTTGGCCTCTCAGTTTGGAAGCGATTATGACCACGTCCAGTTGCTCGCATCTTTGAACTCATGTTCCAGTTTCCTTCCCTGTCACCATGGTGTTCACCTCTCTCATAGTTGTAATTTCCCCTTCGGTTTGCAGATTGTCGGTCTCGAGCAGAGACTTTCTGAAGTAAATGAACAGAAGGCATAATAATATAGAATGTCAAAATAGAAGGACCATAAGTAGGCGGTAACATATCTAATATGCAATTTGTCCAAAAACTAAATGCATAGGATTGCCTGTATGCTTGGCTGATTAATAAAAGAATTAAAAATTTTCACTACCTTAATATTTATATAAAATAATAGCTTCTATTTTCCTGAACGGATATTATTGGAGTTGTAAGTGTTCTTGGGCTTCTTCAATTATATTTTAGACGTGTGTTTGTATAAGAAATGCACAGAACAACTTATTAAAGTTCTTGGAGACGTATCTTACAGGATTTGGCAGGTATGTTCCAGTGCCACTTCGATATCGTGGCATCTCATCCGCAAAACGTTGGTAAATATTGGCAGGTCTGTTCAAAACCGACTGAAGAGGGGCAACAGGAACTAGTTGTGGCCCATAGTTCATAAACTGAGCAAAAAGATTCATGTTAGTTGAAAGAGGTCTTCCAGGACCATCCCAAGGAAAACGACCCTGCAAATAAACAGGAGGCACAGGTGAAGGATGGATCATTGAAGATGGATGGCGTGAGTTTTGACAAAATCGCCCATATTGCAAATTTTGCCAATGGCTCGCAAAGTCACTGTTAAGAATGTCAGACTTGTGCTCTGATGACTCAAAAACAGCCCTTCTAGTAGAATTAGGAGGACTTGACACCTCAGGCTGCTCATACCCCTCAGATGAATCAAAATTCTGACCAGAATCACTGTTATCCATCAATTCTTCCCCATTATTGCTTGTTGATGTGTCAGAAGTTCCTGACTCAGTCCGAAAATTATATACTGGAAGCATAGTAAAAAAGGGTACAGGTGGCCCTGTAGGATAAAATGCAAATGGAACAACCCCAGAATTATCAACTGCCCTTTGGCGAGAACCTGCTCCTAAAAGAACTGGATTTATAGGTATCGGTGAATCTGATCCACTTGTCTGAACTGGTTCAAAGCCAGGTACTTGATGCCTTGGAACATGCGCAGAGGTAACAGCTGGGCCACCAGTACTTCTATCTGCCATGTTAGTTGTTGAAATAGAAGTCCTTTCTCCGTTTTCATCATCTGCCAAATTAGACGACATTTCTGATACATCCTTACCCTTTCCATAACCAGCTGGTACCACTGTGGGTATATTCTTCCTACCTCTTTTATCCTTTGTTGATTTTGAGAACTTTGTGGGTGATCCTTCCCAAGAGCTTTCAGAGGAAGTTTTACTCTTGGAGCTTAAAGGAGCACTGGTTACCCTCAAATTTGACATCCTATCATCAAAACAAACCTCATTCCCTCTGCTATCTTGATATTGAAAAGTATCAATGTTTTCTTCTCTTGAAAATCCTCTGTTTTCTTTAGTGTGCTTCTGTTGATTTCTACCAGAACTACCCGAGCCACTTACGCGCGATGATGAAACAAAGGTATAACTACCAGAAGTTGACTGTTGTTTATCATCCAGAATCTCATTATCAACTTCAACCTCAGTAGCGGAACCCCTTTCTTGCTCATGCCAGAAATCAGTATCGGCGTCTGCTGGATTCATTTCAACAGCACTAAAATTATCATTGCCAGTTTCAATTGTGGCTTCAGGATTTGAAGCCAAGCCTAAGCCAGGGAAACACGGAGTCATTGAAGAAGGAATAAAACCTTGAGGAAACTGCATATTTGTACCCCAAGAAGCGTCAACCAAGGGAATATTACCCACATTTCGCTGTGCATATCCCATTGATGCGAGAATTGTAGGTGGAAATGGAAGTGGCAGATGACCTGGAGCTAAATTCACAGGAACATGAACCTGATCACCAAAACGATGAGCTGTTGAAGATGCCATCATGTTCAAAAGATCCTGCTCCTCCTGAAGCATCATCTGAGATGCTCCTGTTCCACCCACAGACACAAATTCTCCGCCCATTACGCCAGAACCTGAATCAACCTGGTAACTACTTGACCCATTGTTTGAATTAGTAGCATCATCAAGAACACGACTGGGTGATACACGTGTAGAAGATATATCATCAATTCTAACACCATGGCTTGAGGCCATGTCAGATTCAAGATTCCTCCTACGACTATTATCCAACATTGCAGAGGAATTCTGCCCTTTCCCACTTTCTTGGCCTCTTGCAAACCTTCCTTGGGAAGAAACTTCGTCATATGAATCAGTCAGCTCAGGACTGGAGCGGGTTCTTGCAAATAGAAATCTTCCTTGAATATCAATCATTGGGTTACTCGGTTTAACATTTCTCTGACCTTTATCAACATAAGTACCCTGGTTAGAACTGATCTCCCTTCTGACCTGGTCAGAGGTCCTTAAATTGTTTTGGTTGCTATGGGCCTTTAGAGTTTGTGCATGTGATACAGTAGAAGTATCACTACTCTTAAATGAGCTTCCATGATGAGATGAGCCACTTCGTGAACTGCGTGTCCCTTCATCTTGGTATTCATGATCAGTGATATTATCAATTTTTTGGCTGTTTTTCCTGAGGTTATCAGACCCTTGTAACTGATCATGATTAGATAATCTCAAACGCCACAAGTCATTGCTTGGAGCATCAGGCCGCTGGCCATTTCCATGTCTGTCCCAAGTGTTCATAAAGAACTGATTGACTTCAGAATATAAGTCCTCCTTTGGGCAATCAAGCAGCCTAGCTAGCTTTTTAGCCCCAAATGCAAAAGCACTACGTATCCTGTAGAAATTGCCTGGGATATATGTAACATTAACGCAATATTAAAGGCCACAATCATAGTAGGATAGAGTAGTAATTGCTCAAGAAAAACCGAAGCACAATATTAAAGATCACAATCATAGTAGGATGGAGTAATAATTGCTCAGGAAAAAACCTAAGCACAAATAAACCACTGATACTAATACTCGACGAGATTGGTTCCATCCACATAATACCAAGTAGTCCCCCCTGCCCCCGGGGGGGGGGAGCACAGTTTTTATATTTTACTCTGATTAGGTGAACATATTCAAAGTTCATTTTATTTAAACTTCAAGTACATGTGCCAAAATTTCTTATCACCATCAACATATCCAGCAACATTCCATAAAATGTCTACAGTCCCATATATCCACTTAACACGAAAATCCCTCATTAACCTTCTTGAGACTGATGTAAAGACCAACATGCACAAAAAGCCATTTATGAGAATAATTAATCATTAATTCTTTTTTTATATGTTATTTTATAAAATTTTAGACCACGGAAAAATGAGGAAGAAAAACAGATTGAAAGAATAGTTTAAAGCAGAAAAGAAGCAATCATGGAACAGAGATAGTAGGAAAAACTCCCATGTATCTTTAATTCATCCAGCACTCCAGCCAAATGAAATTCCTTATTTAACGAATATGATGCAAAATCACTAACTAGCAATCTGGACAGATCCGCACAAAAACCATTGCAATCCAAATGGAAACATAATAAATAGCAAATCAAATGCAAAAATGAATTAAATCCAAATTTTAAAGTCTAACCTTTGCTAACACTACGACCAAGGTTATTGTTCACACGCAAAGGATCAATAACATTAAAATGCTTGGAAACAAAAGTTTGCCCTTGATTTTCTTGACCGCCGGGAAAAACAGCATAAACTGAGCTACAAGCATCAAGAAATAACTTGCTAAGCAGTAAATCTCCACCATCTTTCCGAGGAGGTTCAGCTGTTACAATCAATAAAACTGACCCAAATAAGCAAGACAAGACTACTTTCATCATCATGAAGAAGCACTCAACCAATTACAACTACCTGTAACATCTGGGAGAGAACTAATGGGTACTGGACCCCATAGACTTACGCAGAAATTATCCCAGTCAAACTTACTAAAAAACTCCAGGAAACGATACAATACCTGCAGTAGCCAAAACAATACTACGTCATAAAGATTGTCAAAAACAATAAATTAAAGTAAGATATGCCATTCTTGGTACCTCAAGTGGTCCAGCAAAAGAATTGTTGAAAACATGAAATATGTAAAGAACCAAAGTTTCTAATGCATAGGTTGAGATGAGTCCATGGTGGGCACCAAGTATACGGCTCTCATAATAACACCATGCTTTTATCAGTATGATACTACGCTTGAATAAATGATTTTGGTTAATCAGATTATCAACCTACAATAGCAAAAATCAGATTTTTGTAAGACTAAAAAAAAAAAAAAGTATATCAAGGTGGCTTTTTCAAAGAGAAAGATGTGATGCGAAGCTTCTATGATGAACCAAATTACCTCCTCAAGAAAACAAAGGGTACACAATCCTCCAAGCTGGTTAAATGATATGTCAACTACAATATTTTCAACAAGACATTTTATAATCTTCACCTGAAAATAAACCAAATCAGAGCAAAGTGTTCATCCCTTAATACTACTGAAACACACCCCACCAAAAAAGAAGAACAAGAACAAGAAGCAAGCTTTATATGCAAGTTTAACTTAAGCAAGAAGCTAAAAAATGATAAGTGCAGAAACAAATAGCTTGTCCTTCAACATTTAGAATATAAGTGCTAAGAAATACATGACAATAAATCTCCCGACCAACAATTTTGAAGTATATAAAATACTTTCAGTAATTACTAGCTACTAATATGAGAAATGGTTTTTCCAGCCAACATATGCTTCCCTAATATTTTTACATCCATAGCACTTGTATTTAATGGCTACTACTATATCAAGAATGGCCACTACCATATCAAGCTCCATATACATAACATACCCAAAATCCAACATGCTTACAACTCTAGAAGACTGGAAACAATAAATCAATAGTAAAATCCAACATGATATCAGACGTGTGCTTAAAAGATCATTCATACAACTTCCAAGAATTGGTGTTCCGTTGATTCTTTCAATATGTATCAAAAACACGCAAGGACATGTGTACATTTATCATGTGGGAAGATGAGCCCCAGATATTATATAGGAAGGTATGATTTGTCATTGTGCAACTTCTGAGTACAAAATAAAGAATGATGGACCATTCCAATCCCAAATTATTTGAAAGAACCGTATCCACAAGCACAGCTTTATCATGACAGACTGACTAGTTCCAAGTTATTATCTTGGTGGTACACATGCACAAGTATGAGCTGGACCCTGGTACATGACTTATAATAAATCATTTCACCCAATATTTTTTATTCTTGAATAAGTAAAATCACATTCGCACATTGCATACTCTCATCTTCTAGAATCTTTAATATACTAATGTAGAAGAGCACAAGACCTCAAAATTTCACTTGGAGTAAGAAGATTCTAAAGCTAAGCATGCAACTTGATGCTAAACCACATTCAGAAAGCAAGCACCATCACCGAATTAGGTAATTTAAGATTTAAAGCAGATTAAACACAGAAATCAACAGTAGATAAAATATTGTGTTATAATGGAACCTACTTCAGCCTGGATGTACTGAACCTCTTTCACATGGAACTCTGCATGCTCATTCTTCTCCGCGCTCTCCAGCATGTCACGAACCTGATGTGCCCATGTATCCTTCAAATTTTGATTTTTACTGAAAGCCGTTAAGTCAATATCTCCATCAGGTAAATAAGTCTTGAGGGGCACAGACCCAAAGGTAAACACCTATAACAATAACACTTAACCAATCAATGATTTATGCAAATAAGTCTTGATGTTTTACAATAATGGAGCAAGAGAACCAAAGGAACTTCATAATTGATAACGCACATTACCAGAACTCAGAGCCAAGCCATACTACAAATTTGTCATATATGCAACTTTTAACCACAATGGCATTTCAGGCTTAGGGTTCTAATTTAGAGGCTAGACAATGGTTAATACTGTTGGCATAAGACGACATTATTCAAAATTGAAACCTTGATTACTATCAAAAAATTCTTTAATGCTGCAAAGATGTCAATTTGACAGCAGTTATAATATGCATAATTTACAAAACAATAGCTCTTAAGTGAGCAATTTAAAAAAAAAAAAAAAGGAATAGATACAGAATATGTCTGCTTGTGCACCTAAGACCCACCTGGCAGGGGAAGCAGTTCGTGATAAGCCGCTGCACATAGTCAGCAACAGCATTTCTACGCTCTTCAGAGGGTGGATTAGGCTGAATGCAGGTAATTAGCTCTGCAGTCCTCTCTTCAGCCTTCGACCATCTCTCTGAGTCAAGCACTCGAATTACCGAGGCAGCTTCATCAGGCAACAGACCATTTGGCAATAGACCACCAGAGGGCTGCGCCCACCCCTCATGTTCGCCCATGCAAGCCTAAGGTTTCCCTTTGCTTTCAATCTTTTAACTTTCAAACTCCCTAGTAAACCTCGCACCCCCGAACAAGACACCGCAACAACAGACTCTTGCTGATAACTGCACCAATGAAACCAATAAAAGTGAAAACATGAAAAGATCAGAGTAGACTATCCCACAAACTCTCCAGCACTAAAACAAGAAAACAAAGAGAGGATTGAATGTCCTTCGAGTTTTAAAAGTTATGATAAGCACTGCAAATTCCCATATAACCAATTCTAGGTATTTTCCCGATAAAAAGGCACAACAGATAGAATCCCCCACTCAATATCAGAGTGCCCACCTACTAACTAATGAATTAGAGTTTAAAAAATAAATAAATACGTATAAAAACCAATATAAACAGTAATAGCAACGTTTGAAAACTACCAACAAACTCAGGCGAGAACAACTTAATGAAATCCAAAAACGGAAAGCCTGAAAACTAATACGGGAAAAAATACTGCAATAAAAAGAATACAGGATAGCTTGGATGATCACAATAAAACCCTAGAGGGAAACGGCTCAATCCCTACACAGTTGAAGTGTTGGCGAATCAGCAACGATAGCGGAAGCGTGGTGGGCACAGATAAACAATATGCGAATGCGGGAACAGATACTTGAGCATCAAATCAAGTGGCTAATACAAATTATACATCGATCAAAAACGAGGCTTGGCAAAGAGGAAAAAGGGGGTAAGGAAATTGGGATTAAAGCAAATTGAGCAAAGAGAACGGGTTTCACGTTGAGAAGGCTTTTGCATATAGCTATGCACATTCCCAAGGGGTTTATGGAATGGAAATTTTATTGGCAAGCTCAGGATGATAGAATCTGGGGAGAGAGCGCAGGAGAAGGAAAGAAATTAAAATTAAAATCATGAACAATTATTAACATTAAAATGAAATTCCAATCCCAAGTACAAACAACAGAAATTAAAATAAAATGCCATTTAATTAACTTCTTTTAAAACGCTTTTACCTTCTTTCCTTACTGGCCTATGTCACTTGAGGAAATTTCGTGGTTCAGGGAGGCCCATCACAGCACCCAGCGTCCCAAGGTGGTTGCTTATCAAACCGAGGCAGGTGAATTCAAGCTGACCCAAAAAAAACAGTGACAATATTGTCAAACTCGCGACGCTCTCAAAGTTTTTATGTGTTCAACTAATAAAATCGTGTTAATTCATTCTTAAACTCATGATAATTGTAAGTTTAGTTAAACTTACCAATTTATTTATCGAGTTTATCGTTGTTACGTTTTTAGCTTACAAAATCGTGTCAACTTATTCTTAAACTCATGCTGAATTTTTAAATTTGATTATGTTTAGTGACTTTATATATGAATTTTATGAAACTTTCTTTGTTGAATGTGATAAATTATGAACATTAATGGATATAATTTCAATTATTTAAATTAAAAATATATTTAAACAAAATTGTTCTCATTTTTTATATATTAATTATTTGATAATATACTTTTAATACCAGTTTGTTAATAAAAATAGACTAATTCGAGTTTACGATTCGAGTTTATATCATTATCACGAGTTTGTTTAAATTCGTGAATTTGACAACCTTAAACAGTGAATTCTTTTTCTCTTCAACCAAAAACATTGAATTCAAATACTAGGTTAAAAGAATCTTATTAAATGTGTTAAATGAAAATTTTTTAAAACTATAGTATATAGAAATAATGAGATATGCAATGTAAAATTAGTACAAGTCGGTATTATGGTTATAGGATGAACTACTTAATTACGATATCAACTCTTTCCTCACATATAAGTTGTATTAGAGTAAATTATTTATGAGTTATTAAATATGCGGTTTATCTTGCAAAACAAAAAGTTCATTACTACTTTTCATCTTTGATATAAGAACTAACTTGATTTTTAATATAAAACATCAATTCACTTTGTCTGTTATAGTTAACTTTTTTTTTTCAAAATAGTCTTTATAGTAATTATATATATTAAGCATTGCATTAAACACTAGTTCTAACTAAAACATATTATTAGTAAGGGTACTTTAACACTTATTTATTATAAATAACTAATTTAACAAATTTTTTTAATTTACTCAAATTAGTAGATTAAGGGTCCGTTTGGATCAGCGATTGGAAAATCAGCTTATTGAAAAAGTAGCTTATGGAGAAGTGAAGTTGGGTAAAAGCTAAATTGGATAAGCTAAATTGTGTTTGGATTAGAGTTCAGAAAAGCTATTTTGTAAAAGTGAGATTGGTCAAAAATTGTTTGGATTATGGTTGAGTAAAAGTAAATTTGGTTGTAAAATGACCAAAATGGGTATGAGTTTTAATAAATAATGAAACATAACTAAAAAAATAATTTTATATAATACAGTGAATTTAAAATAATTTAATATGAAGAAGTGCAATTTAATGAGTGAATTAAATTTTAAAACTTTAAAAAAAATCATGAAAAATATTTTAAAGATAAAATGAAACATGATTAATTATTTTTTTGGAACTAATTTTAGCTAATTAATTATTCTTACATAAAGAGACTAAGAGATTAGTGAAAGGAAATTTTTCTTTACTTTTCTGAATTTTTTAAATTCAAAAATGAAAATTAGACAATCAGAGGCACCCAACTAATGAACGGTCTTTTTGCTCATTAACAAAGGTGACGTTATTCTTTTCCAATAATATCTCACCACATTTCCCAGTATAATTGGGAAAAGACCTCAACGAAGCCAGCACCCAACCTGTACCATTAATAAGCTCCAAAATAAGCTCCTATTCGTAGCTTATTTCCAACCCATGATAAGCCAGCTTATTTTTCAATAAGCCCGATACATTTTAAGCCCTCCCAAATATCATCAGAATTTCTAATCGGGCTTATGCCCAAAATAAGCAGCTTATGGGCTAATTTAAGCTCTGCCAAACAGACACTAACTCTTATGTTAAAAACTAAAAGTAGTAAACCATTAAGTTGTTAGTTGAGATGACAGTGGCCACACCTCCGTAAAGAGAAGAACACAAGTTAGAATCCTGAAAAAAAGACCAAAGGTAGTATACATTTGCCGATACTATTATTGATTTGACTTAATTCAGGTGATTTTTATGAATGTATGAACTCATGCATATACTTGCTTGGCGTAATAAAATCCTGATAGCAGCTTCATTGCTAAAGGCAACAAAAGTCAATAGGATTCCATAAATTAGATCAAGTTTCCTATGCCTATTATCTTTAAGTTTTTTAATTATACATGATCATAGAAAACTTAACATAAAAATAAAAAACTTAATATAAGTATTGTCTTTTTATAAAATCATTTTTTTGTCATGATAATTTTGTGTTCACTTAAGTTAATTAGATGCATTAAATGGTTTGGTTTTTGAAAATGTTTGACACGACGAAACATGCAACATGTTCACAATCAATGCAAGTCGGTGCTGTTGTTACAGGCTTCTTTAGATTAGTAGTGATAAAACTGGTTTTTATTTTATTTGACTTTTGTAAACATAAATTATGATAAAAATCAATTAGTGCAATGTGATTTATATTTGGATTTTATTTTATAAAAGTCAATTTGATAGGTTGAAACTTATTTAGATAAGTAATGAAACAATAAGTTTAAATGTAAAATGATTGAAAAGGTATTATTTTTTTGGGAACTAATTTGCCTGACTTTTAAATTGATTTGTAATCTAGTGATATATATAAATATTTTAGAAAGATCATGTAATATAAAAATATAATTAAGTAATTTATTTAGCTTTCATAATCTCTTCAAATCAATTCACTCGATCTTATATTAAGAATCTGAGATAATATACCATATGTATATAATTTGATAAATTTAAGAAAAACAATAAATAAAAAAATAGTTAAATTATTATTGAAAAAAAATCAAACTATTGGATCAAGATATGACCCACTTAAATATCTTTATCTTTCTTTTCATCTTCACTTGCTTTCCCTCTCCATGTTAGCAACCGCAAAAACTTAGGCCTCATTTGGATTGCCGTTGCAAATGGTAACAGGGAAGCGTGAAACTGAGGTTTGTGGCTTATTGTGGCTTAGAAGATTGTTTGGATGGGGCTTCTTTTTTAACTGACTTATGAGAAAAAGTAACTTTTCTAACTAACTTATCCAACGCAATCTGGATCAACTTTTCTAACTGACTTATGAAAAAATTGTGCAAAGTTTACGATCTAATTAGTTATGTGATTCCATTGACTTTAATTAGAGACAAAATGAATTTTAATTTATATTCATGTTTGTCCATTATGTATATTTAATTAATTATTTACAATGTGTTTTCAAATTTTTCTCCGTAACAAATATTTTTATTTTATAATTTCACAAATAAACTATTTATATTTTATCACAATAATTTTACGTGTTTTTTTAAACTATTATCACATTAAAAACATAAAATTTCAAATACTACTCTATGCCCATTTCAGTCATTTTACAACTAAATTAACTTTTCTATTAATCATTCAAACAACTTTTAATTTTTTCAACTGACTTTTTAAAAGCACGTATCCAAACATAAACCGCATTACACTAATTGACTTTTACTTTAACTTCAGTTACAAAAGTCAATTGGGTTAAAAGTCAGTTTTGCTCAATGCCAATCCAAACATACCTTTAAAATTTAAGGGCACGTTTGAAGTGCCATTTGAAGCTATAAAAATGTCTGGGAGTCTATAAAACTAATATTTGGAACTTATTTGGATGGGCTTTTAACCCAACTAACTTTTGGAGTAAAAATTAGGGGGTGTTTGGGCAACAAAAAAAGTACTTCTCAGAAGTACTTTTTTACAAATCAAGATAAACTTCTCTACATACTTACTTCGTATACCATAAAAATACTTTTAAAATCATGATTTTGATTCCATCCAAACATTCCTTTAGTTGCATTTCAAAACTAGTAAAAGAAACTTTTGGCTTCAAGAGCATGGAGAGAGAAGAGATGATTATGAGAGGAGAGATGAGTGTCTTAGAGTGGGTTTTACTTTGCTTTAATAAAAATAAAAAATTACTCAAAAATACTCAATAATTATATACTCTTTTGGTTCTATTTATAAAGTGAGAAGAGAAAGTTTTTCTCAATCTTATTTATAAGTTAGTTCACTAAATTTTTGCCATGGATACACAATTTTACTCTTCATTTATTATAGTATGTATAATTGTTTTTGAAAGCTGTATATATTAAGTATGAGTAAAATTAAAAAGTTGTTATATTTTAATAGAAAGTTAATGCAGTTTAAAATTTTTCTTAATCTATACGAAACAAGCTGAAAATTATCTATAAATAGAACCAGAGGAGTATATTGAGAAAAGTATCCAAATAAAAATAAATAAATAAATAGTAAATTTATAAAACAAATTAGAAACAAATCTTCCTTAAAAATTTAACTTGTGAGAAAGACTTAATAAATTTTTATATAAGCCCTTTAATTTACATCCTTTTTGCCAATTTAAAATTCTTGTTACAATTTTTTATTAACAAATATTTTTATTTTATAATTATAAATTAAATTATTTTTTTGACAATTATTACATTAAAATCATATGATATAAAATATTACTATTCAATAAAATTTAGTCGCTCCAATTCTCAATATAAGATTCATTTTGTAGTGCAATTTACGTTACAAAATAAGTCTTATATTTAGAACCGGATAAGTATAACTTTTTTAGTCATTTTACATCTAAATTTACTTTTTCTATTAATCATTTGAATAATTTTCAACTTTTTCAGCTGACTTGCTTATAAATGTCAATTCTTGACATAAATTATATTATACTAATTGACTTTTATTCTAACTTAAATTTATAAAAGTCAGTTTTGCTGTAACTGATCCAAACACAGCTTAAGCGTTTCTTCACAACCACTTTTAAAGCAAAAGCTGGTTGGACAAAAAACCCATTTAAACAACCCAAAAACTGCAATTCATCAATCACAAACATTTGTTTTATCAATTCCAATGCACGTTTTCTGCGGCGAAGGGCAATCCAAACAGGTGTATAATACTAGCATTATGTTCGTGAAATATACATAATATTAATATTATACTACCAAGAAAAGCTACTTAGTTACAATATCAACTCTCAACATATGCATAAGTCGCACAGAATCAAATTATTTATGACTTATTAGTTATGCGACTCATCTAGTGAGAACAAGAGCTTTCAACCTAATGTACAGATATATTGACTGGGCAATTAAAAATAGGAACAATGATAAAAAAAGAAGTCTAAATTTTGTAAATGCTAAATAAGAAATGTCAACAAAAATTTATCGTTATTTACAAATTCAGACTCATCAATGTCAAATAAAGTTGTGCTGTCAAACTAGATCTGGGATTTGCAATTTCTAACTTCTTTTTCTATCATTCTTCCTTAAAAATGCTATCATCTAGTTTCACATAATTTACACGGTTTTTATAAATATGTAACTCATGCGTATGTTTCTTTGGTGTGCCTTCATTACTCAGAGCAAATGAAGCTAATAGGACTCGACAAAGGCATTCCTTCTTATGACAATTTTGTGCCCGCCAAGGTTGTTTTTGAGTCACCATGGCACTCTTGCATTCTACCTTATTACTTGCACACGTCTATTTCAAATTCCTATGATATCGCAAACAACATGACCACAAAAGGTGCGTGTTTTTTTCTTTTTCCTTTCTGTTTTCTTTTGGGTTGTCTTGTTTTAGGGATGCTTTGATTTTAGCACCAAATTAGGGATCAACTTCAATTGTCCCTGAGGGAATGTTTCGGTGATAATTGTAGAAACGAGAGTCGCGGGCTGCCAAATTATGAAGCAAGTTTTATATATATATATATATATATATATATCTTTTCATTAGGTAATTTTATTCAAGACATTATCAAATATTAAAATTTGGGTGTTTCTCCCCCACAAAGATTTGAACATTAATTCATTACATTGTGAGAAATCAATCCCTTCTGTTAGACTTAATTCTTGTTCGTAACTATGAAGCAAATAAATAGGATGCGCCTTATAACCTTTAGACCAATCCCAATAGCTGCCATTAATACTACTAACATTTATTATGCATGTATATAATGTGATAATCTTAAGAAAAATATTAAAATTGAAATTATAATTTTTTTTTAAAACAATATATTTTTTGGAAAAATTGGAAATAATAAACACCTAATTAAATAAAATAATATTATTAAAATAATTATCATTAAATTTGCAATTTTTTAAGGAAAAACCAATTCTCATTAGAGAAAATTTTTTTGTTAAAATTTAAATAATATGCAATATAAATTAAAGCACCTAGGCCTTATGTCAACACAAACCAGTGGAGAATATTGCTAGAGGGCTACAGGCTTAAGACTTGAGAGCATGTTCATACTCCACTACAAAAAAAAAAATTCTTCAATTTAAAAGTCACTTTTACTCATAAGCAGTTGAGCTTTTCGATTTTAATGTAAGAAGTATTTGGATGAGAACTAAATTATAATCTTAAAAATGATTTGGGGGGAGTTTTGTCTCTATGGTATGAAAAGCACTTTTTATTTGAAGAGAGTTCTGTTTCCGTCGATATGAAAGCGCTTTTTATTTGTCAAAAAAATAAAAATAAAAACATTTTTTATAAGTGCTTTTTATTTTACCAAATACGCTAGGAATACCATGTTTACATAAATCTAGTGATTAATGATCTTCTCAGTTTTATTCAAAACTCAATTATACGATGTTGACAACAGATAACGTTATATTACCTCTACTTTTTAATATACGAATTATATAATTAATTTTTGAATATTAAAAAAATTAGTTAGATTAGTTATTTATAATAAATATGTATTTTTTTTAAAATGCTCTCATTAATCATACATATTAGAATGAATATCCTTTAATATATGTGATATCACAAAAACTATATTAAAATTTTATATTTAAGACCAAATTAAATTTTTAAGTCTCGAGATAGTATAATTTTATCTGTTTTAAGAAAAGCAGCTTTTTGCCCCTTAGCATGGTCTAGAGTTCAAATACTGGCTTCTTCTACGTGTACATGTTTTTTGTGTTAAATTAGGCTTTTAATTTTTTTTATCAGTTAGAATAATCTTTATATCAAAATATCTAGAATAATAAGTCAATAACTCTTGGGCGTGGTCGTTAATTAATTTAATTTCTAAAAATCTTACCAGAGCAACAAGACTTTGATAATCTCAAAAACCAAAATAAACGGAAAGAAGCGAAATTTTAAAACACTTGACGTATATGCTGACGGTGAACGGAAAAATCATAATTTGGTTTGTCTGTATACTAATAGAGGCATGAGAAAAGGATGAAAAATTGAATTGTCTAACATCCAATAAATTAGTTTCCGTTCTAAAAATATTTATCTACCATAAAAATTGTATGATATATTTATACTTAATAATTATTAAAATTAGTTTTTCGGATTTTTGACCAATTACCATTTTTTTGGGCCAGCGATTTACACTTTTCTTAAATAACTCGCATTTTGGGCTTTGCATGATTGACAGGCCTAGCCCCTTGCGCCTAGCCCAAAGGCCCAACATACTTGGGCCCATTATAATCATAAGAAAAGGCCTCATCTGGATCATTCCACAATCCACAATCAATGGGTCCTATACACATGGGGTTAACCTCAACATTCCAGATTCGCAAAACGTCCGAATTCTTCTTCTTCTTCTTTTGTTTTTCCCGTAACTTGGTGTCTCTCAAGTGGCAGCCCTTGGCCGTAAGGGTAAAGATCAATTGCGGGAAGATTCAATGCCAGCTTCCTAGGGGGTGTTTTAGGGTGTGTTTGGATTGGCAGCTGAAAAAATAATTTTTATTCTAACTAATTTTTGTAAATTAAAATTAAAATAAAAATCAGTTAGTATAGTATGATTTATGTTTAGATTGGTACTTATAAAAAGTCAGTTAAAAAGACTAAAACTTGTTTAGATAATTAATATAAAGTGAGTTTAGTTGTAAAGTGACTGAAAAGGACATGAATTTTATTGAATACTAATGTTTGATATTAGACATTTTTAATGTAGTAATAGTTAAAAAATACTTAAAATTATTATGATAAAATAAAAATAATTTTTTAGGAAATTATAAAATGAAAATATTTGTTATGTAGAAAAATTTAAAAAAATATTGTAGATAATTATTATGATAAATAAAGGAGGATCTCAGATTTATTTAAAAAAAGAAAAAGGTAAAGCTGTGCGTTTTCATTTAGGGCAAGGGCTCATCATTATCATCGTCTCACGAAGCTGGAGGGAGCAGAGCAAAGAACGCCCAAACCGAAGAAAACTAAATAGGTGGGGATCTAGATCCTAAACACTCTTCAGCAACTAATCTCCTCAGATGAGAAGGACATTAAAATCAGCCGGTATAGTACGATTTATATTTAGATTAGTACTTATAAAAACTCAGTTAAAAAGACTAAAACATGTTTAGATAATTAATATAAAAGTGAATTTAGTTGTAAAGTGATTGAAAATGACATGAATTTTATTGATAATAATGTTTGATATTAAATATTTTAATGTGGTAATAGTTAAAAATACTTAAAATTATTATGATAAAATAAAAATAATTTTTTCATGATTATAAAATAAAAATATTTATTATGTAGAAAAATTTAAAAAAATATTGTAGATAATTATCATGATAAACAAAGGAGGATCTCAGATTTATTTAAAAGGCCAAAGCTGTGCGTTTTCATTTAGGGCAAGGGCTCATCATTATCATCGTCTCACGAAGCTGGAAGGAGCAGAACGGTGAAAGGCGAGGATTATTCTTCAACGGAGCCTTCTCATGTGTATGACCTCACACACGCAGCCTTCCGAGGAGGGAAAAAAAAAAAAATTCGCACGCACCCAAGACCCAACCTCACCGTCCTTAATCATCTTCATCACTCGCCATCTACCAACGCATACCACGCCCCCCAACCATGACCATCTTTTCCCTCGTTCATCGTCTTCGACAGCGAGTGGCAGAGCAGGACACGAGACCATCATTCCCTTCCCACCTTCACCATCGCCCTGCTTTATTACCGTTCGATGCCAGTTTTCTCTGTATGAGTAATATTGCCACCTTCATCTCCCTGCTTTATTTCTAATCATCGTCCATTGCCCTGCAAATTGTATACTCTTGTTAGGTATTTCTTCCCTGCGTACCATAATATAGTTTTCTGGGATTCTTTTAGTGCCATGTCCGCTTTAGAGTGTCACTGATTTCAATCAAATCAGGCTTTTTTATTTCCCTAAGACTTATTTCTGATTAGGCACCCATCTCCGTTGGCTGAGTCGGTTAATTGTTTTCTGTCTATTTTGTGGGGATTTTCGTTGTTGTTTCTGGAATATTGCTTTCATCACTACAATTCTCTGGGCATTGCAAGTCGTGGTTGAAGCTGTGTAATTAGTTTTCATGCATGGCTGATTCTGGTGACCTGCCGAAATCTGCTGACAATCAACCGTCCGAGCAAGGTACAGTTGGCTTCTTTTCAACTTTTTAAACCCAAGCATTTGCATTGCATCTTCTTGTATAAATCTGTTTGTTTTGTTGCAAGCTGTACAATTTTGGCTGTCTTCTGTATTTTCAGTGTGTAATTTCTTCAAGAAACCGGTTAATAGGAAGAATTTAAGAAAACGTACTGTTGATGAAGAAGATAACGAGGAGGATTCAACCAATGAAAGCTCTTTGTTACTCAGTCAGAAAAAACAGGTGAAGCCTGATAATAAGTTGTACTTTTCCACTGGTCCCTCAAAAAGCACTGCATCTAAAGCACAAGAGGAGCCTGAGAAGCAACTGTTCCATTTCGAGTCTTCAAAAGAGATTCAAGTTCAACATGATAACAAAGCAACAGCTATTCTTGAGACTGAAACCGAGTTTTCAAAAGATGCTCGAGCTATTCGTGAAAGGGCCCTTAAGCAAGCAGAGGAGAGTTTGAAGGGTAAAGCCACTAGTTCTGGAGAAGAAAAATTGTACAAGGGCATCAATAGTTACAAAGATTACAAGGCTGGCTTCCGTCGAGAGCAAACAATTTCTAGTGAAAAAGCTGGTGGGGCACATGGTCCTCTCAGGGCATCAGCTCATATAAGAGTTTCAGCAAGATTTGATTATCAGCCAGACATATGTAAGGATTATAAGGAGACTGGTTACTGTGGGTATGGTGATTCGTGTAAGTTTATGCATGATCGAGGAGATTACAAGTCTGGGTGGCAGTTGGAGAAGGAATGGGAGGAAGCTGAGAAAGCTAGGAGAATGAGATTGGCTGCGGGAGAGGATTCAGATGAGGAGGGTGCTAATTTGAGTGATGAAGATGATGATGATTCATTACCATTTGCATGTTTCATTTGTAGAAAGCCCTTTGTGGATCCTGTTGTAACAAACTGCAAGCACTACTTCTGCGAGCATTGTGCGTTGAAGGTATGTCTATGTTCTAATAGTTGGCTAAACTAAGTTCATTCGTTGATATGCCAATATGAAGAGTTGATGGAAAATACTTCCTCCCGTCCTAGGTATATGACCCTTTTGAGCATTTTGCTTTGGTCCTATATATAAAAGCTCATTCATTTTGTCTTATTCGTTAAATGTTTCTTTCACCAAAAACCCCTGGCTAATTCTCAGTTTTTTTGGTAAAAAGTCAGTACTAATGAAGATATCTCATTAAATGTTGGGGATAGTTGTGGAAGAGCTGTATAAATATTTGACATATTAATTACAAACAACAAATTTAACTACTTTTCTTGATCTTTTAAGGTCAAATTTTCAATGGTTTATTGTGCCATACCAGATAAATGTTGCTATAATACAAGTGGTTGCAAAAGTTATGGTTGATTGATTACTGGTTAACTGCATCATGCAGCTGTTCTTTGTCCATATCCATCCCGCCCGGGGCCGTTTTTTATTTTTATTTTGTGCTTGAGAATAAGGATGTGTCCTGAGGTTGATTTCATTTTAATATTTTTCCTCTTCTTTAATGTTAATGCCTTCTTTTCATTTGCAGCATCATGCAAAGAATAAGAAATGTTTCGTGTGCAACAAGCCTACTCTTGGCATTTTTAATGCAGCTCATGAGATACGCAAGAAGATGGCTGCAGAGGGTAAATGATTGTCACTCGGTGCTACCATGCATCTCTTTGCATAACGGAATTTATCTTGATGTTGTCAGTTTTGTGAGCCTTCGTTTTATTCTCAACAGGGGGAAACATATAATGAGACGATGACAGTTAGATTTTGCTGTCAGATTAGTTTTTATTTACATTGCTGTACCTGTTTGACTAATGGATAGATTTCAGGATATTTAGAAATGTTGTAATCATATAAGTTAGACCTTTTGTATTCATCAGTCATATGGCAGAAGGGCTTTAGTTCTTTCATCTATTCACTTTAATCGGCAACATACGCGACTGCAGTTCTTATAGTAGACACGTATGATCATCATTTTGGATTCATCAAGAATATAATTCTGTATTGGTGGCTGAGATGATTGTATGACTTAATGGAAAGGCTTCTAGAAAACCAAATACCTTCTACTTGTGATGCTTTTCTTTTAATGGTGCAAGACTGCAGGTTTAACCAAAAACAACATGATTGCTTTATAGTGGGTCTATTAAACAGAAAGTTGACCTGCTAAATTCCCTTTGATGATGTCTGTCTCCGGTGACTTTCTGATCTGAGCATTACAGCATGAGATTTTACGCCTCCGTTAGTATGTCTTTAGCACGCATGTTTATCACTTCATTTCTATCTTTAGCTCGTTCCTCTTGGCACTGGGTGGTGGGTGGAGGGAGTGACAAGGTTGCAGATGGTGGGAGGTAAAAATTCTTCTCCCATGTAACTACATCTTTCCTGAGATTAGGGTTATTTGCTTTGAGTTTACATTTACTAAACCTGGCGATCAGCGGATCTCAACTATGTTGCCTAACGTTTTCTGGCTTTGAAGATACATGGGAAGGGGGGAAAAAATATCAGAATATTCTCTCTGGATTTTGAAGTGAGATTCATTTCTCTGTGATTGGAAATGTGCTAGAAAATGATGTAAAAGGGCTGCAAAATTCATAACCTGATATTTAAGATCTTTTTGAAGCTTTGTGATAAAGGAGTTAGACTTGTGTCATTATCTCCCTTGACATCAAGCAGCATCAATCCAAGTCCGTTCATGGCTTCATGAATGTGGTGTTGGCATAGTCAACGGTGGCCACAATACATTAATCCCCTGCCTCTTTATTCTTGGGACAGCTCTTGAATGGCTTCTTAAAATGGTCCATTACGCTGCATTTGGTATCACGTGGGGATGAGAATGAGAATGCGAGTATGAAAGCATGGGAGAGGAGCTTCCCTAAAAACCTGTTTTCCTAACTATGATTAGAAAGTGTACCACTCATTGTTAACATATCAATCACGTATCAATCATACAAGTTTAACCTTTTCTTTTCTTGTTTTCACTCTGGAAAAGGACTTCCCTTCTTATCAAACGTACCAGAAGGTTGATGTTAGCAGATACAGCAATCTCATGAGCTACAGATGGTTGGATCCAACACACTTGCTAAGTAGTGACATCCGTTAGCAACATCCACCCACATAAGTGTGGTGTAAATGGAGATGAAATTACAGTATGGCATATGAATTCAAGCCACCATGTATGGTCTACAATTCTCTCGCTGTTTCTTGCACACAACTCTCAGTAATTAATTTGTTAGCAGTTGTCATTTAGTTTCTCCGTTTGTGAATTAGCATATTATGGTTTTCTATGCGAAGGTTTTTTATTGGCTGCTACAAAATTGATAAGCAACATTGCACAAGCTAGGTTCGGAAGCCACAAATCGTTTCTGAATTTTGAAATCCATGAAGTTATTTAGTCAACATTAAAAACAATTCTTTCCAAACATTGATATCAATCAAACCCAGAGGCCAAATAAATTGCTTCCATAAGAATTGTTTTGTCCGTAAAACCTCTTTTCATTTAATTAAGTGGTGAGCTTAACAACTGTGGTAACTCGTAACATTCTTCTAATGATGTCATGAACCTTTTGTATAATCTCAGAGCACGTAAATTTGGTGGCGTGAAAGCAATTTCGTATCTTGATTTCTGTAATCCACCCCAAAAAAATTTATCATCCCCTCCCCCGGGGGGATGTGATTGAAAGGCATTGGAATCCGGAACATAAAATGGAACCATAATAACAGGAAATGGGGAAAAATGATTTTTTTTCCCCCTCAAAAGATGGAATCTTGGGCAATAACCAACAATCTTCAGTTTATTAAGTACATATTTTGGTTAAGTGGTGAGAGCTCAAATAAGTTTGTTAGAATCTAAATAAGTGATCATGAAGCATGTTTATTTTGTTGGGTAATTTTTATAAAATACCGATGAATCATGATTTTATTTTTTCACTACATTTTATGCGTTTGAAAAATTCTGATCAAATCGATTTTTTTCAATCTACCCTTCCACACTCTTTCAGAAATCTCTCACCAAATGATTATTTTTGATAATATTTATATTAAATTCATGCCTTTTTGGTAATTATATATCCATAAATGATTTTAATAAATGAAAACTAATCATAATCACAACTCTCAAAGTTATAAAAAGAAAAAAAGCATATACAAATAGAAATTATAATTAACCAACATCACTTATAACTTGTGTTACTTATAAAATTTATGATTATCTAAAATCACAGTTGTTTATTGCTAATCTCAATCATAGTCCAACGAAAGTTTATCTTTAAAAACAATATGACCGGAAAAAAAAACGAGGCGAAAAAAGAATATATTAAAAACAATCTCATTATGCTTTTACACCCGGGGTAAAAAATCTCGTTAGTCTCCCCCAAATAGGAAGGTTGCCGGCCCAAAAGCGCACTGGAATGCCACCGGAGATATTTTCCCACATTTTCTCGTTAATTTTCCATATCACTCCCACCTCCCACCCACACTCTCACCCTCACTGTCGCTATCATCTCTCGTCCCTTTTCTTTTTTAAAAGGGGTTTCCCCGCCACGCCAGAAGGAATTCGCTTGAATTCTCCTGCCGGAGCCGAACCCTAATTTCCAGTGAAGCAAGCAGAATCTTCACAAAAACAACAAATACAATATGCCCAGAGAGATCATAACGCTTCAGGTTGGACAATGTGGGAACCAGATCGGCATGGAGTTCTGGAAGCAGCTCTGCCTCGAGCATGGCATCAGTAAAGACGGCATCCTCGAAGACTTCGCTACCCAGGTCCTTTTCTAGCCTTTCGTCTATGCCTTCTTGTGCTTGCTGTGTTGATGCGTTGAAGATAGGTGGATGATTCTGTGCTGGGCACAGTTGATGGTTCATATCTGAATGAAAATAAATTTAATATTTTGGCGCTATGACGGTTTCTGATAGCTGACACTTTAGCTAATTTTCTGGAGGACATTTGGTGGAAGGGAAAGAAATGGATTTTATAGTGACAAAATGAAAGATCAATTAATATCTTGAAAAGTTTTATTTCATTTGCCCCTATTTGGGGAAAACTTCTGGACTTCGGTCTATTTCTTTTTCTTCTGTGGCTTTAAATTATGACAGAGCCACTGAGTCTGCACCACAGCTAAGGGCGAGGGAGGAAAAATGGGGTTGGGGTTTTTTTTTGGGGGGGGGGGGGTGGTCAGATGGAGCTAGAGCGAGGCCTGGGGGTTTGCAGATGTCATGGGTAAATGAGTAGGCAGGTAAGGATGGGAAAATGGAAATAGGGGTGGCTCAAGTTCTGTCTGACCAACTAAAGATTCTAACTTACAGTATCAAGGTTTTTCAGTGAACGATCTGACAGTTGTGTTCATTTTAGTTGTCGAGGGTGTTGGCAAAAGATGCAGAGATTGGTGCACAACCGAAAGCAACAAATATGCATTATTATCTGACTAATCTATATTCTTATTTTGGTGAAAATGCTGCAGGGAGGTGATCGGAAAGATGTATTTTTCTATCAAGCTGATGATCAGCACTACATACCACGAGCTCTATTGATAGACTTGGAGCCAAGAGTTATCAATGGAATCCAGAACAGTGACTACCGAAATCTCTACAATCATGAAAACATCTTTGTATCAGATCATGGAGGGGGTGCCGGAAACAATTGGGCCAGTGGATATCATCAGGTTCTTTAATAGATTGTCCCATAATTAAGATGCGCATCATCCTTCAACAACATTAAATTTTCTGCAACAAAATCTACTTCCACCTCCAAAGTTTCCAGTAATTTGTGTGATGCTCATGAAAATCTACTACTGATTAGGTGTTTGGCACATCCATATAGAAAAATAATGTAAAATAATAACATATTTCTACTGTGGCATTTGGAATTTGTCATTTGCCTTTTTAAAGCTTAGAGGAAGATCTTTCCCTATTTGGTCCTAAAATCTGAATAGTTATGAGAGGTCTCTGTTTCTTTTTATGAATGCAAAATAACTTGTGGGGCTAATGTATTTGTTGCTTTCTGACCAGGGAAAGAATGTTGAAGAAGACATAATGGACATGATTGACAGGGAGGCAGATGGCAGTGACAGTCTTGAGGGTTTTGTTCTGTGCCATTCAATTGCTGGAGGAACTGGTTCAGGTTTAGTTACTCTCCTGCATCTTTTGTTTTCCATTTCTTCATTTCCTTTCTTTTTCTCTTGATGAGGAGTTTTGCATTTGGTCATTTGGTGCATTCATAGAATTACAACGTTGGCGACAGATCCTTTTAATTTGCACCTAGAGCATAGCTGTAGTATCCTAACCAAAATTAAGTTGTTCTAACACTCTGCGATATGGAGTTGCGCCTGTTGGCTTAACACCTCCAACTTAAGTTTAAAAGTGCTCTAATATACGTAGATGACTTGGATCTCTATCTAGCGTTGGGCAAGGTATTGAGAAGTTGGAAATTTGGGAATTTCTCAAATATTTCTTGCTCGTTTGGAATAAAGAATACTGACACAGACACGAGCCACAGTACTGACATTGATTTGGCAACATGACAAAGGCTGAAGTGTCCTTGTGAAATTTAAGGTGTTGCATACTTGCATTGTTTTTAATATCAGTGTGTGCATGCTGCAGACAGACACAACCCCTTTTTTAAAGTGTCCTTGTTTCATAGCTTTCTTGGGTTCCTTTTGTTACAAACAATAGTGCTTATGTTCCTAGTGCTTTTTTTTAATACTGATAAAGCCATACAGGTATGGGTTCATATTTGTTGGAGGCTCTAAATGATCGCTACAGCAAAAAGCTGGTTCAGACATATAGCGTGTTTCCTAACCAAATGGAGACAAGTGATGTGGTGGTCCAACCATACAATTCACTTTTGACACTTAAGCGGCTCACACTTAATGCAGATTGTGTTGTCGTTCTTGATAACACTGCACTAAATAGAATTGCTGTTGAGCGCCTTCATCTGTCAAACCCAACTTTTGCACAAACAAATTCCTTAGTTTCTACTGTGATGTCTGCTAGTACAACTACTCTTCGTTATCCAGGATACATGAATAATGACTTGGTTGGTCTTCTGGCCTCTTTGATTCCAACACCTAGATGCCATTTTCTAATGACAGGATATACGCCTTTGACAGTGGAACG